GAAGGTAGCATTAGCGGCGTAGCATGCGGGAAGGCAGCATTAGCGGCGTAGCATGCGGGAAGGTAGCATTAGCGGCGTAGCATGCGGGAAGGTAGCATTAGCGGCGTAGCATGCGGGAAGATGGCCGACCTTCCTGAGTCTGCTTGGACTTGATGAGCTTGGCTCGCATGTTGGCGCCCACGATGTGCGAGCTGCGCAGGTCCCCGACACGGAACATGAGGCACAGTCGGTCGTCCCTCAGAGAGATGACAGCATTTCGGGAGAAGACCAGCGTCTCTGCGCGCTTGTTCGGCTGCGAGATCTTCACGAACATGCAGCCCACCTGAGCGGTGAAGGGGTCGCTTTGTCACAAACTGACGAGACTGAGCTATTTGCTGCGATGCTTCTTCCCACAGACCTGATACATTTACATTTATTTATGTAATGCATTTATCCAAAGCGACATGCAATTGAGAAAACAGGGTCAGTAAATAACTTGGTACGGTATTGATCAGCAAAACATAATATGCTAGTTGTAAACTCAACAAATAAATGGATCATTACTGCAAATACTTTGGTCTCTCAGGAACTCTTCGGGGTTAAGGGTCTTGCTCAAAGGCCCAATGGTAAAATCATTCTACTGATCAAGGGATTTGAGCCGGCAACCTTCTGATAGCAGCATCCCAACCCCCTGAGCCACACCATTCCCTTAGAACAGCACTCTCACCATGAAGGCATTGACCATGGATCCGAGAATGGCCTGCAGCAGCAACAGCATGGTTCCCACAGGGCACTGGTCCGTGATGACCCGATAGCCGTACCCGATGGTGGTCTCCGTCTCGATGGAGAAGAGGAACGCGGAGATGAAGCCGTTGACGTTGTCGACGCACGGCGTCCACGTCTCATCTTCCAGGTGGTCCAGGTCACCTCTGGAAGGCGTGCGAAGAAGCGATGAAGAAAACAAAGGAGATGGAGGTGATGAATACTGCTGATCTGATTTCGTGCAAGAATCACTCGGGTTGGGAGGGACAACAGAATCGTGTGACGCGTGGATGAGGTGGGAGAGACAGGTTAACTGTGGCTGATAGTTCCTTTGCAGGAGAAACATGGACGTAGGACCTAGAGAGAGAAGCAAATGAACTGCGTGGCACTGAGCTGCGTGGCGCTGAGCTCAGCACATCAAAGAAATTATTTCATCCATGACAAGATTCCAGGCCCGTAGCCAGAAATAAATTTTGGGGGGGTGGGTTGAGTTCGGTATATTTTGCCAACTTGGTGGGGGGGTGCGTTCAGTAGATTTTGCCGACTTGGAGGGGGGGGGGAAGGGGGGCAGTTCCCCTCCATAGGTTTTGCCAACCAGGGGGTGGGAGCAATATTCAAACAGGTTTCAAGCTTGTAATTTCACTACCTTTTTGTGTGTTTGGCCAATAGTGGTGAAATTTCGGAGGGGGTTTCAGACCTGATATTTCCTACATGGCTACAGGCCAGCAAGATGCAGAACTGGTCTTGGGGTGCGGTCACGTTAACTGGGAAGGCAAGATTATGGCTGTGTTCGAATCTGGGGCCTGCATCCTTCGAAGGACGTGTCTGTGTAGCCTTTGTCGGCTGTGTCCTTCGAAGGCTCACGCAATGAATCGTGGGATATTTTGAGCTGCGAATGATCCAACTGGTGGATCCTTTGCAACGCGGCAAAAGACGGATGCATTTCTAGCCTGCATTTGAAGAAGCCTTTGAAACGGGACAGCCTTGATGCATCGCTGTGACTCATTCGGTCTTTGAATGCCGCCTTCAAAGGATGGTGCCCCTGAATTTGGGCACAGCCTATATCAGCTTATGTCTCTGCCCATTAACAAGGAACATGCCTTGGTCACCTGACCCTCTGTCCTGAGACAGAAGCACACCCAGCCCCTCACAGTACTGGGGGAGCGGTTGAGCTTCAGCGGATATTTGTGAATTCAATTCACCTCCAACTGATCATCAGCTGTGTGTCGCAGAGAAAGGAGAGCAGGTCTTTCACAGGTATTTCACCGATGATCAGCGCCACGTGACCAAAGGGGATTCACAGAGTTTTGGTACCCAGATTTGGCTCACCTGCAATAGGCAATCAGGTACCATATGGCCCCGAAGAAGAGCCAGGTGACGGCGTAGGCCATGACGAAGACGAAGAGCGAGCAGCGCCAGTTGAGATCCACCAGCGTGGTGAAGATGTCCGTCAGGTACCGGTACGTCTCCCTCATGTTCCCGTGCTGGACATTGCACCTGCCGTTCTTCTCCACGTAGCGCTGCCGTTTCCGCTTGTTGCGCCCTGATGGTTGAGGCCGGTCCAGGAACGGAAAATGAATCAGGAGGAGGAGAGGCAGAGGAAGTGTGTTTGTTTTGGGGTGGGGTGGGGTGGGGGGGGGATTGGGGAGAAGATGGAGGGTGAGTATGGTAGATTTCGTTAAAGAGGACTGGTAAGAATTAAATTTTGGGAGCGTTAAACTGTCATGAGGCAAAGGAGTGAGCAGCTAGTCTGTAGCACTTGGTATTCATCACTGAAGGAGACCAGATGTCAGGAACGAGAGAGCCAGGGATGGTCACACAAACAAACACGAATGTGGGAAGAAAAAAAAACAAAAACATGAGAACATGGATATGAATGATGGATCCAACCAGAGAAACAGACAAGACAGACAAAATCAATGTCTAGAGACCAGGGAACCTAGACAAGAACCGGTGTCTGACTCACATGCACATTATGCATGAGTGTCGAGAGGTCTCACCCCAGCCAAACTTGCCCTTTTCGCTCCCGGCTCCCTGAGCCTTCTTCTGCTGCTGATACGCCTCAGCCTGAGCCTCTCGGGCAGCCATCTTTGCCTGGAACGCTCTGTTATTGGACGAGGCCTTGGAGGGTGGCGCCGTCTCCGTGGTGACGACGTGCCCCAGTTCTTCGGAGACGTTGAAGATTCCCGCGGGCGTAGACGGCTCCGGCGCATCGTCCGTGGGCCCTTCCCGTTTCTCGGTGACGGGGAGGGAGATGGACTCCGGGATGGAGGTGAAGTTCTCTAGGGCCATCTTGGAATTGTGTGTCTATGCGTGTTTGGAGGTGTGTGTGCTGGAGATTACCTGTGTGGCAGGTAGGGAGGAACCAATAAGCTAGCAGGTGTACCAACGTGTGTGTGTGTGTGTGTGTATTGGGTGAGAGAGTGTGTGTGTTTGCTTGCGTGTGTTTGTGCAGCACAATTAGCTTTGATGTTTTTCCTTTCTGTATGACCCTGACAATCGTTATAACGTATCACAGTGGTTCAATATCAGTGACTGCAAAAATTCTTCAGTTAAATCTCTGGCCAAGTTTCTTTACATGAAAAAAAACAGAAAAAGACTAAAGTCAGTTAAACAGCATGTATGAGTGCACGGAAATGGTTGCTTATCATAAACGCAAATATTTGCCTTTTATCATATGATCTAGGACTTTTCAGTTATTTAGGGTAAAATATGCGGTAATATAAAACAGGTTGCACAAGAATGAAAACGTTCCGGAGAAAAAGCACAACCCCATTTCAGAAATCACTAATTTAGCAGCAGGATAAGAAAAGCATTAACTGCAATCTGCAGAGCAAACAAGCAATTCAATTTAAGAAAAACCTGCAGCATCTCCCAGGGAATATCAAGCGCTCAGGTCTTAATTAATGACCTGCCCAGTGTGGAGACATGCTGGGAGGGGAATTAAAACGCAGGCAGTTGGTTAGGCAGCTGTGAGGCGCAGTGGTACCCATGTGCCGGTCCCAGGTCCCTGTCGAGGCGATGCCCTGTGCACGTCACTGCCAGGCCGAACGCGGGATGCATGACCATACAGCTCTTCTCCCTGCAGCTGTTGCTCCAGTAAAATTATAGCTGCATAAAATAGAAAATGAAAGATGTCAAGTTGTGAGCGCTGAACGTTGTCCTAGTTAACAATCTAGGACATACGGATGTTCTACAAGGAAGACAAGAACAGAGAGAGAGAGAGAGTAAACACTCTTTTGTTATGATTTTGTTGTATTTGACATCTGTAAAAAGCACGATGCGATCATTTTTGGATCATGTTATAAACGGTGATACAAAAAAGACTTCGCTATCTGACAGAGGTATAAAACAGGTTAAAAAGTCATACTCAGTAAGCGGAGTCGCAGCCACGAAGCACTCACCCCAATCATGTTTCAGTAGCGTGCACACTGTTCCTGCCCATGAATTTACTTTCCTTCCTTTAGCATTAAGAAAAATACGAAACCACCATTGTTTTTTACGTCTAACGTTGTCCTTAATGTTGAACATTAACTGGGTATTCATTTCCTTCCGCGAAATGACAGCCGTATCCTGGCGTATAATAAAACCCATGTACGAGCCCACTACAACATCCATTTGTCTTTTCTCCCATAATGTTATTAAACAATCGTTTTCCGCCGGCGGTTTAAAAATAGCCTGTATAATAAAATATGAGCATGAGTAATTACCTGCTGTACCTGCAAGCGTTCGTGCAGGTAGTTCACATGCACAAAATACTAAAATTAACCATGATCATGAACAGAAATGTATTAATATACGATGTTTTATCTTTCTTGAGCCGTGCAGAAAATTTAAACGGCCTTTTCATTTACAGCAGAATATTATAAAGGTTTTTTAATATGCCTTACCTTGTGCCGTATCCCCTTCCCAGATTTTCTCGTATTAGTTGTATCCTTTTTAAACGAGTGTCGCGTTAACGCGTTACTCCGATTTTCATTAATAGGGTCATGGCCATTTCAGGTTCTGGCTCGGAAAAAGCCCTCCGTGGACGGTGGAGTGCGGATCGGGCGGGTCGGGAACCGCATCGCGTCTCACCGCTCCAGAAACAATTGATCTCCTAGCAGGATCTGCCGTCACAATGATCCGAGATAAACCGTAGGCAGCGTTAGGAATGACAAGCTAGTCACACTCCATACCTAACAGACATTTTCACCTATGTGCACGAGTTTCTATGGGTAAAATGGAGGCTATTCTTGGTGTAAGCGCGGGCGAACGGCAGCGTGAATCAAGAGCCGAAGTCCGGTGCGCAGGTGTCAGAACAGGCTGGCAGCGCTCTTACCCCTATTCGCCCCCCATCTAACACTCAGATAACGTCCAGAAGCGCAATTAGCATTACAGATTGCGAACATACGCTCGGCTGCTCGCTGTAAAATACGGCCACTTTGTGATAAAACAATTACTAATAATTATTATGGCAATTCTAAGTCGTCATCGTGCCACACAAATTATATCTTCCGTCACATAGGCCTATTATTAATAAGAAATCAATAAGAAAAAGAATATACATTACGTTGTGTCACGAACTATGGCAAGCCAACACGCTCAGACGCTCCTCAAGCTTAAAATAAAGTGTTTTGTATAACACCCCAAAATAACATTACTGTAACATTATATACTGTACAGAAGTTTTTCCGGTAACTGCGATTTTTCCCTTACGCGTCATATTACTTATATGACGATGGTTGCATTAATACAATTAAATTAATGTCGTGTATGTTGTTCTTATTGCTGTTCTAATTCGTTATTACTGCAAAATTCCTTAGGCTACCCATACCGAGTGTGTGACAAAAAATTTCCCTCTTCCAATTTGTATAAATCACTCATATATCTACCATCAAAGCCATATGGTTAAACATTTTTTTGATCCGTTTTCAAACAACCCGTCAAACAGAATGTCCCCTATACTTTCCCCTGACTTGATGACGAGGCTGAGGCGAGCGCTTGAACCTTAGAAGCGGCCCGTATGCAGTGGCGCTTGCTGCCCACCAGAGGGAGTCAACTTCGGAGCCGTCACCGTGGCACACAGGCCGCATGATATCTATGGTACTGGAGGCAGCGCCACTTCCTTTTCCAAGATGTCGGTGTACGGGCCGGTGGTGAAAATTCATCCCGTTGTGCTCGCCTCTATCGCTGATTCGTACGAACGGCGAAATGAGGGGGCCAGCCGCGTTATCGGAACGTTACTGGGTGAGTTATATAACCCTGTTACACTCGATTTAAGAGAATGTTGTTTAGTGTCGTCAAACCGACCCGATTGCTGTCCGATCTCGGAGCATGCGGCATTTAACTATTTATAATGACTATGTGATGGATATAGATCTGCAGTGTGTTGTCATTTTAGCGTCCTGCTAAATATTTGAGATAAAATACGGTTTATGTAGATTGATCAGTAATTCAGACGAGTCTTTTTAAATGTTATCTAGCTAGCTGATCTTGTCTAGTGTGGACATTTACGTTAGACACCGTTTGTAGGTGGATCCACTGTTAATTTAATCAACTGGCCTTTCTGTACATAAAACATGTCACGTTTATATTTCATTCTGAACGGAGAGCACGGAGGGCGTAACAAACCTGTAAATGTGTGTCGTCTTTGTTTGGATGCCAACAGGGACCGTGGACAAACATACGGTTGAAGTCACCAACTGTTTCTCTGTTCCCCATAATGAATCGGAAGATGAGGTGAGGTTAAATGATCTGTTTGCAATGGTCTCTTCTTGTGATTGTGAATGAGTTTGTGTTTCAGCACATGGACCCTGCCAAGGCTGTCCGTTAAAATTCCAGGAGCAGCGTTACCGTAGTAAATAAACCTAGTAAAATGTCAAGCTGTATTAATGGATACAATTTCACTTTGGCATGTTGTGTTTGGATTTAGATAATATTCCATACAGGAGTTGACCATACGGGTAAGAGTAACCAGCATAGTGGTTATTTGGGTTGCCTTAGTGACAATGTTACCTTGTCCAGTAAATTTACTGTTGCACTCTGGGATTGTGGTGCTACGGTCAAATTGTCCTTTTTTATTGTGATAGGTTGCCGTTGATATGGAATTTGCCAAGAATATGTATGAGCTCCACAGAAAGGTCTCTCCCAGTGAGGTTATCATTGGCTGGTGAGTCTGTTAACCCCCACATGCATTTCCTTAGTCTGCTTGTCTCTCCCCATATTCTGGACCATTTGAAAGTCTGGACACATCTGCTCTTAATGCATTTGCCTCTATTTTAGGTGTGAGATTCACCTTATAGTAAAAGGCCTCAAGACAATGAAGTAATACATATCAAATATTGTAACGACCAAGAGAAGTGTCCGTTTCAGAATTTTCTCAGATTTCATACTCTTCAAAATATCCTCCTTTTGCTTCAATGACAGCGATGCAGACTCTTGGCGTTCTTTCAGCAGCTTCCATATATAGCCACCTGGAATACTTCTCCAATAGTCCTGAAGGAGTTTCTACAAGTTCTGGCCACAAGTTGGCTATGTTGCTCTTACTCTTCGCTCCACCTCATCCCAAACCAGCCCTGTAGGCTTTAGGTCATGGATTATGGGGGCCAGGTTATCTGTCACTGCACTCTTTCCTGGGTCACAAGATACTACAGTACTTGCATAACCTCGTGCTTAAGGTCATTAGCCTGTTTAAAAACAAATGACTTTCAGTAGGTGTGTCTGACTTTTGACTGGTACTGTATTAATACATTCTTAAATGTAGTGCTGTCTTAGCCAAAGTTTCTGTCCATCACGCTTCTGGGGAAGGTTTTTGAGGACATAAGGGATGCTGAAAATGTCGTGCATGTTAGATTTACAGTGTGAAGTTTAATTTGTCACATACAGTCATACGCTGTAGTACTGTGTCGTGAAATGCTTTTCCACCTGTTTCCATTATGGTACTTGATGAAACGTGCCTTATAAAGAAAAGCAAAATTGTATAAAAATATAAGAATAAAATACGAATTAAATAAAAATAACAATGAAGATACGAAGCCTGCAAAACAGATAAAAGTACAAAGTGGTAAATCGGCAGTAGTAAAAGATGTGCGATTATAGTGTGGTATGATAAGTTACTTTTTAGCCAAAGTTAAACTGTTAGTGCATGCTGTTGTTTGGGGATTACAGTGAGAATGTATTACCCATAATCCTTCTGTCCCGGGTTTGCAGGTATGCTACAGGATATGACATCACAGAGCACTCAGTGCTTATTCATGAATACTATAGCCGTGAGGCTCAAAACCCCATCCACCTGACTGTGGACACAGCCCTGCAGAGCGGCAAGATGAACAACCGTGCTTACGTGAGGTGGGGTGGCCAGTGGCACCCGTCTCTTTCAAGTTGTGTAAATTGTAACGTAGTCAGCACTGTAGCCCCCATATCTGTTCTATGGTCCCACATAGAAAATAGAATAATCCTTTTTTATTATTTTGATGTGGGGTGCCAGCACGGACAGGTATGGCTGCCTCTGTTCGCAAAAGGCTCTCTAAACTGCTTTTGAAAAAGCCTGTATATATTTTTTTATTTTCTTAGTACACCTGATGACGTGTTGGGTTATTATTAATTTTTTTCCAGTGCTCAGATGGGGGTGCCGGGAAAAACAGTAGGTGTGATGTTCACACCCCTGACCGTCAAGTACATCTACTATGACACAGAAAGGATAGGCGGTGAGTACCTGCTCCCCTTCACCGGTGATCTGCAGAAGCATTTTGGCCGCTGGCCGTATAGCAGATGGAATGCTTTGGAAAGTCATCTGCAGCTCACTGATACAGTAGCTCTCCTCTCCTGTGTCAGTGGACCTTCTCCAGAGAACGCGAGTGTCGTCCAGCCGCACCAACGGTCTGACATCCGACCTGGAGCAGGTCGGGACGGCGGCCTCACGGGTTCAGGACATGCTGGCTACAGTGCTGTCTTACATCGAGGATGTTCTGGTGAGCCGATGTCCTGTCGCTCCGGGGCAGTGCTGGCAGCAGTGAATGAATGAATGCCTTTATTGTCATTGCACAAGGTACAATAAAACTCGGAGACTGTCCTTGAAAAAGTCAGGACACACACACACACACATATATATTATAATATAATAGTGTAATATATATGTGTGTGTATGTAAATTATGGAGTAAAATGCAAAGGTGCAGTAGTCTAGAGGTTGAGTGTGGTTCAGGTGTTGAGTAGTGCACGTGTTTGGAGGATGGTGATGATGGTGATAGTAGTGGTGATGATTGTGATAGTGGTGGTGATTGTGATAGTGGTGGTGATTGTGATAGTGGTGGTGATGATGGTGATAGTTGTGGTGATGATGGTGATAGTTGTGGTGATGATGGTGATAGTTGTGATGATGATTGTGATAGTGGTGATGATGGTGATAGTGGTGGTGATGATGGTGATAGTGGTGGTGGTGATGGTGATAGTTGTGATGATAGTGATGTTTGCCCTCTCAGTCCGGTAAGGTCACGGCAGACAACAGCGTGGGCCGCTTCCTCATGGACTTGGTGAACAAAGTCCCCAAGGTCACAGCCGAGGACTTTGAGACCATGCTGAACTCCAACATTAACGTGAGCTTCCTGTCCTCCTGCTTGGGTCTTGAGTGCCGTCTTCATTGCAGCTGCGTAATAACTCACCGTTCTGGTGTAACACCATGCTTGGTGTCTCTCTCTCTCTCTGCCAGGACCTGCTGATGGTGACCTACCTGGCCAACCTTACCCAAGCACAGATAGCTCTCAACGAGAAGCTTGTGGTCCTCTGAATTTAAAAAGATGGAAGCAAGAATTTTAAACTTCACATATAAGAATAAAGGTGTCAAACATTCCATATGCGGTTTTCTTAGTGAATTACTGGAAACTCTGGAGGAACTTGCAGCGATTTTCTGCACCAACAACATATTTATTTTTATTTTTCCTATGATGCCTATATACTTTTGAACATTATACCATTTGGAAACTTATTGCTGCATATTATTCTTTATAATCCGTATCAAAAATAGATTTATGGAAGGGGATAGGTTTCATAATGATTGTCATAAATGCAAAAAATAGCATAGTAATAATTTTATCCACTCCGATGGATTAGATGTCTGACTGACTGGAGTAGAAATGACTACACCGGATTTCTGACTTGCCACTAAACGCTAATGCGCTTTGCAGTTACTCAGAACTAGAGAGGATCACATTCAGTTCTTGACCTATATTTGTCAAAATGTTGTAGTATTAACGAAAGCCCAGTTTACTGTGCATTTAGCCAGTTGAAAAAGTTCCAATTAAAATATGGGCAAACATATGATTACTTTCTAACAAATTCTATGCATTTTATAGAGATTTACATTTTTAATTACAATTTAATAAGTGGTTTTCCCCACACATAAGTACAGCTGTGGCCAAAAGTTTTGAGAATAACAAATATTAATTTTCACAAAGTATGCTGCCTCAGTTTTTATGATGGTGATTTGCATATACTTCAGAATGTTATGAAGAGTGATCAGATGAATTGCAATTAATTGCAAAGTCCCTCTTTGTAATGAAAATGAACATTTGACAAAAAGACCTACAAACACTGAAGCAACAAACTTTGTGAAAACTAACACTTGCGTCATTCTCAAAACTTTTGGCCACAATTATAGCTGACCAGTTTGAGGATTCATTAGAACGATTGCTTAAGATGTCTAGTATGTGTATCATAACCTTGGTCAGGTGTTTATATTTCTTTGTATAATATCTATCTTCGTTTTTAGTTATACTACTTGCTCTGATTCCTTGCTGTGATTTTTGTTCACCCATAGTTACCGTTTCACACCATTACCGCACAACGCAGTTCCCACCCAGAATGACAGCAGTCAGTGGCCTCAGTTTGATATTCACACGATATTGTGGCATATTATCTTGCAAAAATTTATTTTGCGGGAGGTAGGTGAAGTCTAAAATGTGATCCAGGTGAACAGTAAGGTCCGATACGGTAGTGTGCAAGTGTCGGGCATAGAATCCACTGCCTGTTTCCATAATCCCCCCCTAATTTGACTGTTCCCGATACGATCGGCGCCCCCCCCCCCAGCCCGGCTCGCTGCGCGTTACCGCCGTCACGGACACGCGGTATCCTCGAGGAATGCACTTCCTGCTGCGGGAGGTCACGTGACGCGCGCTGGCGCTCCGACCGGCCACAACAATACGGCAGAGCTGCCGTGTCACTCCCACGCCCGCGCCCTCGCTATGGCGGACGGCGAGCGCTCCCCGCTGCTGTCGGACCTTGGAGACGGAGCCCTCGGCGGGGCCAACGGCGGAGTGTTGCCGGGAGCGGCCCTGTACGGCTTACCCACCAAACCGCAAAGTGAGTAGCCGTGGCTCAGGCGAGAGAGCTGGCGAGTTGGAAACGGTGTGATGGTCGCGTATGTGTCAGGACGCGGCGGTTATTTACGTCTCCAGATCCGTTATTTCAGCTTGGAGTGCCGGTGTTCAGCTCCAGACATAGCGGTTCGTTAAATCGACGCTGGCGGCACGCAGTGAAGCGCAGCGCGGCACCACAGCGGTCGCTGTATGGAATAAATGACGGATCATAGAATAATAACGACACTGCCTCTCACGTGTGAGGTAAACACTGATTACTCCCGAGCCGCACAAAGCGTGCACACCACACCTGCCTATTTTTGCTGCTTATGAAATTATACCTGCTCTGTCATTAATACAAGATGCGCATCCAGTAGGGTGGTGGCGATCTAAAGCACCTTGTGATCTAAATGAATTATCATACGCTGAATGTTTTTTGTACATGTGATGCAGTTATGGTCCCAAGATGATTCATGCTTAGTGCGAAATCACCGTGGAATTTTTTGTGACGTTTAGTTTAGTGCCATTTAGTCTGATTTCTGATAGAGTGTAATCTCCGGGCACCGGATTTGATTGACGTTGCTCATTAGCGACTGATGAAGCTTTTCAATGCGGTCCGATCAGAAACCGGCCAATGAGCGTCCGCCGAAGGGCGGGGCTAGCGCCAGGGTAGTGCTTTCTGGGTAATGTATGTTTGTTACAGTTACGTCGGCATTTTTTCCCCCAAAACTCTTACCTGACCGCCTGTTTTGGCAAGTCATCGTCCGTCCAGTCTTCAGCTGCCACATACACTGATAATTTTATTATATTTCGCATTTTGTACCATTGACGTTGCCCCATAAATTGCGCAAATGTAATAGAATGCAATCTGGTTTTTCACTTTCTGTTTTCTGTTGTGCCCAGCCGGGGAGGTGGGGCATCATGTAGTGTAAATAACACTCAGGTTACCGGCGTCCTTTATCGTGGTATATAAGCGCAGACCACCATTTTTCTAGTACATTTAACGGTAGAAATTAAAGTGTTTTATTCTTTGTCAGGCAGTGTTAAATACGCCCTTTCATTCTTCCACCTTCCTCTAAAGCTTCTTTCCAGTAAACCAAAACTAATTTCATAACCAAACCAAAATAGAGAAAACCAGAAGTGGTGGGTTTTCATGTCTGTACACTATAATAATTCCTTTCCCGTGCTGATGATGTCAGTGTCCCGGCTCTATACACCTGTATATTTACCCCGCTTAAACTCCTTGGTCCAGACAGAGTCCTACCCAGTTTCACTGTCGCCTCACACCTCCACAGTTGGGCTATGGATCCCTCCTCCCCTGTGTGTGAGTCTGCATGTCCTCCTCATGTCGTGGACTGTTTCCACTAGGTACTCCTGTATTCTCACACAGTATAAATACATGCAGTAAGTCTGTCTCTAGGTGTCCATCGAATGTGTGTGTGTGGGGGGCACCCTCCGATGGACTGGCGTCCCATCCAGGGTGTACCCCAGCCCAGTACCCCGTGGGATAGGTTTCAGGCTCCCCACAACCCTAACCCGGTTCGAGGATGGATGAACCTGGTCATGTCCTACTGTGTCCTGTTAACATGTGTGTTTGGGTCCTGCTGTATTTCTTGTCACGGTTCCTTAATTCCTGGCGCTGGCAGCCCACGTCGTTGCCGTTCGGCTCCTCGCCGGATCCTTTTATCCCCTTCCGGCCCTCCCGGTTGCGGCCTCTTCATTCGTCCATTAGCAGCACTAGATATTTTTACAGAGAGACACTGTAAGAGTTGGCATATCCTCCTAGAACTGTCTGGGGATCCCCGAGGACCGGCTTGGGAATCACTGCTGTAATACACATTCTGAGTATAAACTTACTGCTGATGAGTTGTGGTGTACCTGATTACTAACTGTCTTCCCCTCCCCCTCCAGGCTTCCCCCCTTTCCCTAGCCCCACCCAGCCCTCTGTGCTCCCTGGTGAGGACCCCCCGCCCTACTCCCCCGTCACGTCTCCCGAGAGCTGCGGCAGTACCCCCCCTGTGATCAGCTGCCGGGTGTGTCAGAGCATCATCTGTGTGGAGGGGAAGATCCACCAACACGTGGTGAAGTGTGGGGTCTGCAATGAGGCCACGGTGGGTGTCAGGGCCGGGGGGGGGACACCCCGCAGTGCACACTGGCCACCTATGCTGGCCGACATTTACACAGAGTAATGTTCACACACGTCGCGGTGCTGGCTGTACGCACGACATTTACACAACAAACACGGCCTGCGTTTCTGTGTCCATACGACATGTTGATCTGAAGTAGGAAAATCCATTAAACTTTATGATATGACTCTGGTCAGGATTGAATAGTAGCATTATTTATTCATCTGACTATTTATCCAACGCGACTTACAGTAGAGGGAGGGCTCTGTGTGAACTCCCTGGGATTTAAACCCACAACCTTCGCGTTGTTAACGCAAAGTGTTATTTGCAAAAAACTGCTACTATAACAAATATCTCATTAATACCATTAAAGAACAAAATACCAGTGAAAAGGGTTAGCTGTTAAATCGGCCCTCTTCACACACCTTTTGCAGCCCATTAAGAACGCCCCCGCAGGGAAGAAATACGTCCGCTGCCCGTGCAACTGTCTGCTTATCTGCAAGGTCACGTCACAGAGAATCGCCTGTCCGCGGCCCTACTGGTAAGCAGTGCTGCCTCTCCCCGTGCCACACTCGTCTGCTTTTCAACCCCCACATACTCCATACCATACAACACATCCCTGACAAACGGTATCTTTCATTGCATTCTACCAGCCGGGCTGTAGGGGGCATAGTAGTTAAAGAGCAGTCACGGGCATTCTCACAGCTTCTTGTCCATAGCAGGAAGTGTGGCGGCGTGGCCTGCCCGCCACCTACGGGCGTCACTGCATGATGTACTGACTGGAAGTAGCCTTGGTGAAGCACCAGTAGAAGGACTTCATCAGGCGTGACTGGCTTGTGTTTCTGGCCCACAGTAAGAGGATAATAAATCTGGGTCCCGTGCACCCAGGCCCGGCGAGTCCCGATCCACAGCCAGCTGGAGTGAGGGTCGTGTGTGGCCACTGCAGTAACACCTTCCTGGTAGGTGTCCGCTTTCTCCTGTCCTGGTTCAGGAACTGCTGCCTCGGCTCCCATGTGTCCGACGGGCGGCGAGATGTTAAAAACGTCAGAGGGGTGATTGACGGTGGCCGTCCACTGGGGGCGCCGGCGCTCAGCTTTCCTCACAGGCCACTATCATTCAGTCTGGGCGTGTTACTGTGCCCGCTCCGTCATTCCGGCTCCTTCTAGAATCAGCCGGAACATTTCAGGACACTGGAAGGGTTTTCCTTGGGGAGCGTAACCTGGAGGGGGAGCAGTGATTAGTGTGCCGTAAATGGTATTTTATATAATCCTAATAAGAATCTACTATTTCAGATCACGTTGGTGTCCTTAATAATAATCCGTCGTACTTAAATCCGTAACATCACGCGGTTTCGTGCCGTTTGTTCCCTCTGCGGTACATAACGATATTGGGTATTATATTTCTTGGCTGGTCTTATGAGCTGTGTTTCTGTGGAGTGCAGGCCGGCTTTCACAGCCACGTTCTCCTTTCAGTGGACAGAGTTCACGGACAGAACATTGGCCCGGTGTCCCCACTGCCGGAAAGTGTAAGTACACTGAGCAAACAAGCAGCTGTCGGTGGTTTTTCCAGGTCCGGTGTTAAGGGAGAGTTTGCCATTTGTCCTGAATGAATAGTATGTGTATTAGGGATGGACATGTGACGTCATCACAAGGACATCCGCCATGCCGGGGGACACAGCGACCCATGTGGCAGTAATCCCGTCGGTCTCGTGTCTTTCCTTTTTTTTATTTCTTTGTTAGTGATAATTCATATTCACAGAAAGTACGCTGAAAGAACGCACCAGAGAGAGATATCAATATCGAGAAAAGCTTACAAACAAAGCGAGAACTCGGTACTGGGAAAAAACATCTTTCATAAACCACCTCGACCCCCACGAGCTGCTCAGGCAGGGGTAAGGTCTGGATCAGTTTTAGATAAATTTTGGATCGACACTGCATTTAGCAATTAACCAGTACCAATAGTTTTGTTTACTGAAATTTGGTGACATTTTAAAAATAATTTGGCTTTTGAAATTCAGTTTCAGTTTACAGATATGTATGAAATAAAATGATAGTGAACACTGGCTCTTCTTTTATTCCTGCTTACCTGTTAAGGCCTGAATGTAACAGGTTACAGCTGCACTGATGGCCAGTGCTGCACACGAATGCACTAATGATCCGATCACTTTGCAACTAATGGACTTGAACGCGAGTGTAATTCAGTCTGCCTAGAGTGAACGACACACAAGAGGTAGTAATAGGGAAAAACATTAACTTCCATATTGTGTTGTCTCAGAATCGCGCTTTGGAAATGATTGCGTGATGTTTGTCTTATTCAGTGTTGGGCTCTGATGTGCTGATCGTGACAGTAATGATTTGTTTATGTCAATGGACTCCAAGAGCTACCTAATGGTAGCTAATGCCTCTGATATTTTAATTGATCAGTAGAGCAGCTTATAAAAACAGATTAAAAAAAAACGAAAGAGATGAACGTTAACTAGTTCATTTTAATCGGTGTGAACTTGCAGATCACTAATGGCAGTAATATTATCTAAAAGGGTTTTTGTTGATGTATTAATTGTGTAGATAGGACATTAAGTTAGAAGTACTTAAGTAATAAGCAGTCGTGTTTTTTTTTTTTTTGGATCGCAAAGTATGCAAAGTAATACATTTGCCTAAGTATGTTGCAGCCCTCAGAAAACTTGGATATTGTTTATTCAATATATCAGTTTGTTATACGATATGATGTCATACGATCGACTACACAACAGTGTCGCACAGTTGCGCACTTTTAGTGAATAAATCTGAATAGAGCTGCAGACACAACCAATGCACCACTACCTGGAGGACGAGAGGTGTCTACCCAGCATGGCGGATCTATCCCACAATGCAATGTGGGTGCCCAAGCTCCATAGGGACACTCGCCCCCTGATCCCTCCCTCTTTGTTCACGCAGCTCCTCTATTGGCCAGCGATATCCCAGGAGGCGGAGCTTCTGGTGCTTCCTCCTGTGCCTGCTTTTCAGCATTGCCGCAGCAGGACTAGTGGTGGGTGAAAACGATGCATCGTGCAATGTGCTGGGACATACATGCACTCCAGGGTGCACGCCACCCAGTGGCCGCAGTGAGAACGGCGTCCCGATCACACGCTGTGCTTAGTGGTACTAATGCACGCTGCTGTGTGCTGCATTATGCACTCAGCCACCGCACAGCAGCCATTCACTATCAAATATGCGATTATTAACACTGATGGAAACAGACAGAAAATACAGAACAATACGCTAAGAACATAAACAGGAGTGAAATAAAACAATAGAAGTAAAATTAATCATGCAATGCGTAAGTATGAGATGCATCACGGTTCACTCTGGGCAGTTTTACAGTAAGGACTCGGGAGGGAGATTCCCAATTAGAGTCCGATAGGATCTGATCATTACCGTAAACCGTAGACTATAAGTTCACATGGTTTTCTGAAGCTGTGTGGTAGAAATACTGTGGCTGAAAGTTGCACATTGTCACGTGTACTTTGGTTCTTGTTTTTCCTTGCTTCCTCATTCTGGCATGCCCTCTCTCCCTCCCTCCGTTCTTCTCTTTCCCTCAGGTCGGTACCTGGCTCCAGGCCAAGCAGTACCGGGGAATCTACGCCTCCTGGGCCGTCCTGATCCTGCTGGTTCTGCTGAGCCTTGGCCGAGCCCTCTACTGGGCTTGCATGCGGGTCAGCCAGCCCCTGCAGAGCTTCACATAGAGTGGGACAGTGAAGGCGATGGGGAGGGGGGGGGGGAAGTGCAGTCAGATACATTTACACACTCGGTCGCGAGTTACAGTCACTCATTTCCTTACCCAGACGGACATTCCCACACACACACACACACAGCAAAGCCACACTCATGTCTGTATATTTGTGCAGGAAGCGGGAGGGGCTGTGACTTGCGCTAATTTTTACGTAAACGGTACGTTAACGTGCAGCGTGCCTTTTCTGTCCCCACAGAGGGCTCCCAGCCGGTTCCTAACTAGAGTAATAATTGAAGTAAAACTTCATGGACCCAGCTGCCATGTGCCTGGTTCATGTTCTGCAAGCGATGATCGGTTTTAGTTGGTGTTTTAGCAAAGCTCTGTGTTCCATGGTACCCTGTGATATATCGTATATCGCAGTAATGGCCCTTTAAATCACTGAACCCACAAATCGTGGTGCTGCCTTTCCCGGCTAAGGCTGGTTGACAAGCCCTCGCCGATCCCGGGCCGATCGGTGAGTCTGGCAGGACCCGGATGTGACCCAGACAAGGCAGGGTTTCTCAGAAAGCAGCTCCATGCTGATCTGCTGGCACTGTGTGTGTGTGTGTGTGTGTGTGTGTGTGTGTGTGTGTAAAAGAGAGGGAGAGAGACAGTGAGTTTGCTATATTATGTGTCTGATGTAACGTGTGTGTGTGCATGAAAGACAGAGTGAGTCTGTGTGTGTGTGTCTGTGTGTGTGTGTGTGTGCTGAAAGGTGCCTGCATATGCATCTGTGGTCTAGGTGAAGGTCATCATGCACTGTCCTGTAAACCTGAATGGTTTGTGTGTGTGGTTTGGGGAACTGTCGTCACGTAAGATGTTAAAAAATACCCGCAGAAATGTAGCAAAGGGACCTGCAGTCACAGACCCCGCAGAATATCTTCAAATTCAGCAGGAAGTAACTACACACTATTTTATTCTTGCTAAAAAAAATAAAAGCAGATAATTTGTAGAACAATTGAAAAGGCACTATGAAAGTGGAGGCACCTGTCTAATTGGTGTCTAACCCTTCACCAGTTTAGCTTTTCAGGTTTGCTTTGCTCTGTAAATAGTTTTCCTTCTTAAATGTGAATAATTTTCTGAAGGATGATCAAGGCCATAGAGTCCAGGTCTGTTCATCTGTTTTTCCTCCGTCTTCACAGGCATTACTTACCATTTTACTGTAACTCTGGAAGACCAGTCACATGTTTTGATTCTGCTATTTCCGCATTCTTGTTTCTGTTCTGCGTTTTCTGGAATTATATGTATTTACCTGTTCGTGGTCTCTTGGATCGTGAGCAGAGAAACTTACAAAAAATTGAGAACTGGAATCTGAAATGGGGGGTTTTGCAAGTGCAGTTATTAGCTCTGATTAGTGTACTCTGCGTGTGTGTGTGTGTGTGTGCGTGCAAGAGGCCATTGGCGAGGAAGATCATTCTAGAAAAGCAGTCTCCTGTATATCCGTGTGTCCGAGTTTCCAAGGCCATCAGAGTGGGTTTCTTGCGGTGGTCAAATGGAAACCAATCAATGAAATGTGTTGCGTGTGGCCTGAAGCGGAACTCGGGCATGATTAAGGGAGGCGGCCCGTGTTTAAGGCGGCCCGTGTTTAAGGCGGCCCCGTGTTTAAGGCGGCCCCGTGTTTAAGGCGGCCCCGTAAATCCGCAAGGCCGTGAGCCGGTGGGATCCTCTTATCACCAAACCCCGTCTTAACGGAAACTTTTATAGTGAAAGGGGCCATGGAGCGAGGGAGGCCGCACAGAGCAGAACGGACACCACAGGAAGGTGTTTGGATGTAGAAGCAGGGCCTCGATTTGCTTAGGGGTTAAGGCTCTGGTCATGTGACCTCTGCCGCCCGGACTGAAACCGGCTTGTAGTTCTCAACATGGAGCTCATGCCACAATGAAGCAATTTTATTCTCCTGCCAGCAAAAAAAAAAACCACGCAATTGATTTCCCCCTTATTTATTGCTTAGCTGATGTTTATTAAAAATACTCTAAACTGTGCCAGGAAGTGAGGAGCAGACCCCCAAATCTGGAATTGGGTTGGCAGCATAGCAGCAGTGCAGTGTCTGTTTTCATAGGGAATCTCAGAGCCCAGACTACTCTAGACAATACGGCTCGCCTAATCAAACACACGTAGCCTGCAGAATTCCTGCTCAGCTACGTAAGCACCGGTAACCTTTCCTTTTGCTCCGTGTAATTATTTTTATTGCTGTAGTTCTCTGCTGTATTGTAAATAAATGTTTCTTTTTGTCAGAAATTAACCATTGCACTTGTATGTTACACTAAACTGTTTGTTTTTTGTTTGTTTTGTAATTTAATAATTCTGAGCATTATTTGCAAGCCTTAATGATGTCTCTGATTTTGTTACTTTTGATTGTACATTTGATTTGAGTTTTAATCGCCTTCGTTTAATTTGATACTCCGCAGCGAAGCATCTGGTCGCGTTGTGTTCTAGAAACTTCTGCCCTGAGGAATTGACACGGTCATGACTGCCCACTGACGTGCCCACTGATGTGCCCACTGACAAACGCATGTCTGTTACATCTGTATACGCAAACACTTCCACACACGCAGAACGCTCCCGGACGGGGTTGTCTGTTCGAAAAAGGTCCACCCTTTCCCCCTAATGATGGGGTGGTTTATTGTCTGCTCAACTGGAAAATGATAGAGTGGTGTTATTCAGAAATGATACTACTGTTGGGTCTTAAATATTTAACCCTAGTTTATTGATGATTGTACAATATCAGTGATGTTTCCAACAATAATGGTGGCCAATCCTCTTTTCAGGGTTTGTTTACAATTAATAAAGCAGTGAAGACCTTTGAAGTCCGTCTCCTATAATTCGTCTGCTCTTGGTTTTGTTTTTTGTTTTTTTGCTCTCGGACACTTGAATTTCATGCGGATATTTTTTTTCTCCAGACACAGCGAGATGGAGGGATAGGAAACGTGCAGAAACCTTTCAAAAACCACAGCCCCCCCTGAGAATAACACGGGGGCGAGAGAGAGGGAGTGAAAGAGGAGCAAGTGAGTGACGTGGTGGAAAAAGAGACGGAGAACAGATTGAAGGGCCCTGTGTCGGGGCCAGGGGTCGGGTGGGGCAGTAGGATAATTCTAACCTTCTCGCTTTAAGGGCTTTGGGCTAAGAAAGCATTACAGTGCAAACTCTGCAGGGGAGAGTGTAATATTAATCTGGTGCTACACTAACAGAGCGAATTCTCCCCTAAACCCTCCATCCTCTTTACAGGGACTTACACAAACAGACGGAGTGTGGCTCTCCCCTAAACCCTTCACCCTACTTACTGATAACAGGATTTGATCTCTAAGACCCAAAACCTCTCTTGTCAACCAGACAATATCAGCTTCTTCTCACGGGTACACTAACCAGTGGTAGCTACATCACCTGTTCACACACAACTGCATTGTAAATCATAAAATAGTAGATTACAAAACTACGGTCAGATCAGACCAGTAGCCTTCCTGTTGGATGAACAGTTTGTGACTAGGTTATCTCCATCTTGATGATGCCAGCCATGGTAACGACTGGTCGGTATGACTTCCTGTATGACCCACAAGGATTCTTCAATGAAAGATTCAGCCTTACAAAAAATACAAAACGACTTGTATGTTCTGTTCCTTATTAGGGGTGTAGCAGCCAATCATATGTTCATTTCAGTCGTGAAGGTCAGAGCATCTGGGAGTGAGTTCAGCTGAAAAGTGGCAGCATACAGACAGGGACCTGGTCACCCAGCATCAATACCAAACCCCACCAGCCATATTCCAGCATCTAATGGGAAGCCTTCCCAGAAGAGGAGAGGCTATTACAGCAGAAGTGGGCCAACCAACTATCTGTTGGGATACTTGTAAATGCTGCTGTTGTGCAGTCCCGGTCTGTCCACTGGGATACTTATAAATGCTGCTGTTGTGCAGTCCCGGTCTGTCCACTGGGATACTTATAAATGCTGCTGTTGTGCAGTCCCGGTCTGTCTACTGGGATACTTATAAATGCTGCTGTTGTGCAGTCCCGGTCTGTCTACTGGG